GCAGCTGGCGGGGGTGGGCTGGGGATCCCAGAGGAGTCGGCGTGCGCCCAGAGCGTATGAATGGGGTTGTGTTCGCCGCTGGGCTCCCGCCTCCGCGCGATGCCCCCACCCACCCGGCCTGCGCCTGGTCTCGGTGACCTCTGCTCGCCTCAGAGATGCCAGCCGCCCACCTGCCTGCATCCCACTCCTGGCCGCGAGCCCAAGGGTCGCCAGCATTCGGGAGCAACCCTCTCTCCATTTTTCAAAGTACGTATATAGTTGATTTTTGTGTCCTCGGTGGAAGATCAAGGGGGCGCATTTGCCAGTTTCAGGTCCTCAGTAACCAGCAGCGTGATCACCCACCGCCGGCCGCAGCGCTCACTCCCAAATCGCCATTTCTTCCCTACTCCCAAATGAATGCTATACAAGTACGATGCTAGAAGGCTGTGTTGCCAACATGACATATACATAAACGTGAGTGGTGATGGTATTCCCCACACCCTCCTCAAGAATTCACGTTTCAAATGCCGAACGCTAAGTGCACAGGCGCACACGTCTGTATTCTCGCACATGAAGACAAGCCTCTCCCTCCTCTCCCTGCTCCAGCGCCAACCTGGCCCAGCCGGCGGCGTTATATAAATAACACCAGCCCTGCGGCAAACGGCTACATGAGCATTATTTCCTTCTGCACCCATGCACGGCTGAGAATGAGGCTGCACCTTTCACCCCAGCGTCCCCACTTGTTGGACACATTTCATATTCTGAAGTTTATGGATGTCTTGATAGAAGAATCCATTTCCAGTCTTATTGGGGGTGGGGGGGGGCGTTGAAAGAAATGCTTTTGCTTTACAAAGGATACACTCGAAGCTACTGAATGTATTCTTTTGCATTTCCATTCTTTGTTTACTACATATTTAACCTGAAGTTCTTTTTTTGTTATGGGCAACATGTGCTACTAGGTAAAATACTGGCACATCCAAGACAATTCTTTCTGAATGCTGCCAGTGGGCTGGGCCTTGGGGCAGAAGGTGGTGGGCCTTCCTGCTGAGAAGGGGAAGACTGAACACACCAAATCTCTAAGAAATGGGTTCTCGAGACCTGCTCATATTTAAAGAGCTTCTGGGGGTGATAGTGCACATTGTGCTGGCAGTAATGCTTTATTTTCAACTTCGCATTATTGACTTGACTTTTTTCTCCCCTCTCCTCACCCAATTCGAAGATATTATAAATGCAATGTGTTTACCTCCAGGCCTGGAACAGAGAAAGTGATCAGTAAATGTCAGCCATTTATTATTACTGCCACTACTACAATTACTATTATTTACAATCTGCATTTCTATTTCAGATATAATTTTAAAGATATTTATTTGCCCTTCAGTGGCCTACTGTTACATCAGAGGTCTATCTGTGTTTGGCTCTGCCCCCTTACCCATTTGTTGGATTATAACATTGCAAAACAAGCATGACCTTGATGGCCATTCCAATCATAATCCTATATAAGAAAAGGGTAATATGCAAATTGACCCCAGCAGCAGAAAGACTGGGAATGACTGGTCACTATGACACACACTGACCACCAGGGGGCAGATGCTCAATGTAAGAGCTGCCCCCTGGTGGTCAGTGCGCTCCCACAGGGGGAGCTCTGCTAAGCCACAAGCCAGGCTGACGGCTGCCAGTACAGCGGTGGTGGTGGGAGCCTCTCCCGCCTCCTTAGCAGCACTAAGGATGTCCGACTGCAGCTGGCAAGTGCACATCCCCCAAGGGCTCCCAGTCTGCTAGAGGATTGTCTGACTGCCAGCTTAGGCCCAATCCCCCAGGGAGCGGGCCTAAGCCAGCAGGTGGTCATCCCCCGAGGGGTCCCAGACTGAGAGGGCACAGGATGGGCTGAGGGACCCCCGAGTGCACAAATTTTTGTGCACCGGGCCTCTAGTAATATATAATATGAAGCTTTGCAGGGTTGACTTTCAAATATACACTGTTGTTCAATCCTCCCAGGACCCCCAAGAAGTGGGTCTTCAAGATAAGGCTGTGAGACTATCAGATCAAAGAGGTGGCCCACAGCAGAGCCAAATAGCTGGCTTTGAATCCAGATCGTCTAACTTGACTCAAATTCCAGGTTTTCTCCATGTCAACGTGAAGGGACATATTATAATACCATTGGGAAGAGTTTGAAAGGTATTTGTTAATGTGCATTTTTAGGTGGGAGAAGCCCTGGCTCTGGAAGGGAGTTTCATTGCAAGCTGTTATTAGTCCTTGTCCCCAAAAGGTGGTAGAAATCCTCAAATGATACATTCCCAGAATTTGGGGACATTCAGGAAAATGGTCCTCTCTGAAGTGCAAGCTAAAGGAATCAACACAAAATGTTTGTAGTGAGCCTTCTGCAGCACCCACCCAGGCGTTGTAACTAAGTTGCTGGTTAGATGAGAGGTTTCCCTAAATCCCTCTGGGATCAACATGACCCCCAAATCTAGCCAAGAAAATTAAAAGGTAACCAATTTAAAATAAACTAGTCTTCAATTCCTTAAGACATACCTCCAGGGACTTCATTGAGGGACCTAGAGCAAAAGGAGACTTTAGGAAGAATTCAACACTTTGATAGCCTTGAGGATTTAGGTTCCTTTGGGGAAACCAGTCAGCAACTGCTATCGCATTACCCTACTCTACTTTTCTGAGTGGTAGCTACCACTAAGTTCTAGTTTTCTTGTTTACTTATTTATTTACTACCTCCCACCTCTAGATAGGTACCTTGTAGTCAGTTGTATTTCTGATGCCTAAAACAGTGCCTGGTACATGTAAGACACTCAACATCTATTTGATCAAGTTATCTATCAGAATCCTATAACTCTGTTTACATTGATTCTTAAATCACCAAGCAACCTTTTCATATTTGTTTAAGCTCTCAAATATAGTGCTCAGATCAGCCAAAAATGAGAATTAAAATGAACTTGACAATTATACTCCTTATTATAAATAATTGTGCACAATGGATTGGCTCCCAGTATGAAATTATTGTGGGCAGTTATTGGCTTGTAGGCAGTAGACTTATAGGCCAAGTGCAGCTCACAGAATACACACAATCTTTGAAGAAAAATGATTGCCAGCATTTGAAAATCAGGAGATTGAACATTAAAACACACACACACAGCAGAAGCTTCCACGCCTGGTCTTTGCAGGGCCACACTCCCTGGAATGCAGTAGAAGGACAGGTGTTCTGCAGTCCTCTTCCAGCATTCATCTCTCAGACATCATTTGTCTGGCCACCAAAAGCTTCTGAGTCTGTGACCCCCAATTTGTGAAAGTGTCCTGAACTCTCTGATCTCCATAAAGAAGCTGAGCCATTCTCCTTTCCTTTGAAAACATATTAAATAACCTACCAACTTGTCATTTCCTAAAAAATGAAAGGATAGAAAAAAGAAAGATGCAACCTAATCCCCAATATACTTGAACAGGTTTATTTCCTTGGAGATAACAGGAATCAAAAACATTAGCTAAAGTTAATAGAAACCTAATTTCAAATCCTACATAATTTTTATAAAGTTAGTTCCAAGGAATTGGTGTAAGGGTTAACTAACCTAAAATTACAAACTTAGTCATAGCAAATTGATTTCACATTGGTCTTACCTGTATGTTCATATTTTTTGTTTATACTTGAAATCTAGGCAGATACCACATTTTAGAATATTCTGTATCTTTATTTTAATTCTGACTGCAGCTTGATTTCTTTCTTTCAAATATTTATTTGAAAAGTAGGTTATCTTAATTTTTGGAGGGAAATGTGATATGAAATTACTTCAAACTGAGTATCCATGAACATTATTTACATCAGCCTTTGACTTTTGGAATGTTAACTCTGACTTTCTAACAAGGAATTTGACATTTACAAAACCTATCATAAACATAAATGGAAAAGCTGCTTTAGTTCAGTGGCAAAAGTAATAAAAATGTCACATAATCTAGCCTAAGGAAACCTACAGTTGATGTCTTGAGAAAAGCTACACATCTGTACTAATCAAATTCACCCTCCTGATCAAAAGGCCAACTGGAAACAGATAACAAAATGGAGATAAGATGTCTACATAAAAGTTAT